TTTTAAAGTGGCGCAGTCCGGGAGTGATTTTTAGTTTAAAAGTTTTATTTTAAGTTTTAATAAGTGTAATTAATTATTTTAAGACTAAAGTCTAACCTACATTTTACACCCAGCACATGGGGCATACATGCTCGATTTTCGTTTTTCAAGGGTTTTGCCTTTACAAATAGCTGATGAGAAGCCTAAATATCTACAGTCAGGTAAAAAATGGCTACTAATCTTGAAGAATTGCTAAAACAAAGCATTGAAATTCAGAGAAACTTGACATCTATACTTACAAAAATACAAGACCCAGGTCGTACAAACGACAAAGCCATACATGGCATACATTTTGATAAATTCAATGAAGAGGCTGAGCCTTTTTGACGATTACTTAGATAGGCTAACTTGTTTTCTAAATCTACAAAATGTGCCAGATTCCAAGAAGGTCAATACACTAATTACAGTGCTTAGCCCTAAGTTGCATTCTCTGTTAAAGAACTTGCTTTACCCTACTACATACAAAGAAAAAACGTTCAATGAGCTAACTGAACTTTTGAGGGCTCATTTAAATCCGAAACCACTAATCATACCAAGTAGGCATGCTTTCCTTAACAGGAAACAGTTAGAAGGGGAGACCATTAGTCAGTATGTAGCTGAACTTAGAAAATTGGTGGTACCATGCCAGTACTCTAGCACTATGCTCAACACTATGCTTAGAGATGTGTTTGTTAGCGGACTACAGTCCAGGGGAATGTTAGACAGGTTATTTGAGGAGGATGATCCAGATTTTACCAAAACTGTTGAAATAGCCTTAGCTATGGAGCGTGCTACGCTGGGGGCTAGTGAAATTTTACATAAGCCTGTTTTTTTCTAAGCAAGTAAATAAATTACAACTGGACTTCAACAAGAGAGGAGGTAAGTCTAACTATAATTCAAATAGAAGTGGGCCGAAGCAGAACAACAATCAACCGAGGTCTTATGGGGCTAATACAGGTCAGTCTAACGTTAAATGCATGAGGTGTGCTTAAATGGGCCACAAGGCTCCAGAATGTTTTTCAAAAAACTTGTATTGTGTTTCATGTAAGAAACCTGGTCATGTACAGGAGGTTTGCCTTAGGCGCAAAAATGCTTCTAACCTATAACTACAAGTAGGTCAAGCCCAAGTAAGCCTATTCAAAATAAACAAAAGCCTCAAGAGCTCCACCACCTTTGTGTGGAAGAAACTTTGCCTTTATACCAGCAAGTAAACTGTCACTCAGATGTAAGGCCTCCAATCTTACTCGATGTACTTATCGATGGAGTTTCCTTGTCTTTTGAGTTAGATACCGGAAGTGCAGCCTCAGTAGTTAGTTTAGATAATTTTCAGTCTGTGACGTCCCGCAGCATACAGCCTACTAACTTCCAATTTAAGAGTTACAACAATAATATTATAGTGCCCCTAGGTGAGGCCACAGTAGAAGTACAAGTTAATAATCAAAAGAAGTTGCTTAAGCTGTACATAGTTTCTGAAAACTTTTCGTCCATTTTTGGTCGAGATTGGTTATTTCAATTCCATCTTGATTGGAGCAGCATCAAACCTAGTAGGCCTATAAAATCTCTAGAAGTCTCTACAGGGAATCCAAATGCATGGATTCAACCTAACCTAACTAAGCTACTCACCAAATAATAAGTCAATAAGTCATTTATTAGGCCAGATCAACATATACATGCATTAGTCAAGTCAAATTAATCTTAATTGATAAAACATATTGATTATCTTACAGTGAAAACAACTAAAGTACTTACAAGCAACAACTCAATTCAGTTAACTCAAGTTAATTCAACAAGTGCCTACAAGTAAAGTTAAATATAAAGAAGTCTTTGACAAAAATGTAGGTACCATAAACAATTTTGTGTGCGATCTGAAATTGAAACCAAATGCTGTGCCGTGTTTTTCCAAAGCTCGTGTAGTACCTTTGACTTAACAGAAACGAGTCGAATTAGAACTTGCTCGTTTGGAGCGTGAAGGGATCATAAAACCTGTCGACACCTCAGAATGGGCTACACCCATTGTCCCTATTGTTAAGCCGAATGAAACTATCCGCATTTGCGCAGATTATTCTGGTACCGTAAATAAACAAATTGAAGTACCACAACACCCATGTAGCACAGATGGTTGGGCCAACGTTGGTAAATTGTGGAGCCACACAGTTAGCCAACGGTAGAAATGTCACTTCTTTAAACTGTTTTCCAACCAACCATTGTCCAACAATGGCCCAACTATCCAAAAATACTGATGGCCAACTAACCATAACACAACTGATATCCAACCAACCGTTTTATTTAACACAAAATATTAAAGATTTAGTATGAAAAGCATAATTATAAGTTGAGTAAATTGATTAAATAGTTCATAAAAACAAATTTTGAAAAAAAGCTAGAACAAAATTTTTTGGCCCAGACGGGTCTTGAACCCGGGTCCTTCGACTTATGAGCCTCTTACCTTACCACTGAGCTATCTGCGATTGTTGATATAGAGAGTTTTCAAGTGGTGTAAGAGTAGCCGACAGTTGCAATGGTCGCAATACTTAAAACAATTTTGATACTACACAGTATAATATGATTCTGTTAATAAAATGCATCATAAGTAGTTATTATTTTTTTGGGGGGGGAGTTAGAGAGGATACTGGTATTTGAATATAGATTATTTAATTACCGTTAGATTATTAATGCTATTATAATTGACTGTTATATGATTAATTACTCTTTCCCCTTAAATTGTTGCAAATAAGTTAAAGAATATTAGTTGATCCAGAGAATGAAAGTCGTGTAAAACTCAACTATGGACCATCGTTGGTCCAACAAAAGTATCTTTTGTTGGTCCAACGGAGTGAAAAACGGTTAGACAATGGTTGGCTTGATGTATGATACCCAGCAATGCATATTAATGTATTTCATTAACAATGAACCAATGTTGGTCCACAGTTGTAAATATTGGTTGGCCCAACTACGAGATATACAGTTGGACAACGGTTGGTTGGTTGTGGAAGCTCCAACCAACCATCGACCAACTGTTCCACAGTTGGCCAACGTTAGCCCAACCATCTGTGCTACATGGGCATCCTCTACCTAGATACGAATATGTCTTTTCTAAACTCAGTGTTGGCTTACATTTCACTATACACTAGATATTCTTTCAGCCTTTCTACATATGCCTGTGTCTGAGAAAACTTAGGAAATTCTAACTATCAATACGCACAAGGGATTGTACCGCTGTCTTAGGCTTATGTATGGTGTAAGTGAGGCCCCAGCCACTTGGCAAAAATACATTGAGAGTGTGCTTGCCGGCATCCAAAATTGTACAGTAGTCCATGATAACATAATTCTCACGGCTAAGACTGATGAAGAACATTTAAATGTTTTACGTCAAGTACTAGAAAAGCTAAAATCTTGCGGGTTACATCTTAATATACTTAAGTGCAAGTTTTTTCAAGAGGAGGTGACATATTTAGGCCACAAAATCAATGCTTCTGGTATTTCAAAAACTGAAGAAAAGGTTCAAGCCGTGCTTAACTTTCAACCCCCCACTACAGTTAAGGAAGTTAAGTCTTTCTTGGGCATGGTATCTTTTTACAGAAGGTTTTTCCCAAACTTATCTACGCTAGCCAATCCATTATACAACCTAACGAGACAAAACGTCCCTTTTAAATGGACTAAAGACTGTGAAAATAGCTTCCAAGCTATAAAGGAAGAAATTGTCCAAGATCGCATCTTGGTTCATTATGACCCCAACTTACCTTTAGTTCTTTCTGTGGATGCAAGCCCCGTAGGCCTTGGTGCAGTGTTGTCCCATCAAATGTCAGATAACTCTGAACGACCTATTGCTTTTAGTTCTCGTACGCTTACAGGGAGCGAATGCAATTACTCTCAGATAGACAAGGAGGCTTTGGCAATCTATTAGGGTGTACGGAAATTCTACCATTACCTCTATGGCCGAAAATTTACATTAGTTACGGACCATCAGCCCTTAATACACATTTTTGGTTCACGGAACAAACTCCCCGTCCTACAGGCTACTAGGCTACTGCATTACGCACTCTTTTTACAATCATTCCAATTTGACATAAAGTACAGGAAGTCTGAGATGCATGGTAATGCAGACTGTTTATCACGTTTCCCTACAAAATCTCAAGAAGTGTTTCAAATGGACGATATTTCCCTGTTCCAACTGAAGCAGATTAGTACAACGTTTGCTCCAGAAGTAATTTCAAAGGCCACTGCGGAGGATGAGGAGTTGCGGCCGATTCTACATAACTTACGAACAGGCGTGCCCTTACAAGGGAAAGAAGGGACTATGTCACTCCAGTCAGGTTGTATCCTGTTCTGTCATAGGGTTTACATTCCAACCAAACTACGCAAAGATGTCCTACAAGATCTACACTTAGGCCATTTGGGTATCGTAAAGATGAAGGCTTTAGCTAGGTCCTATTTGTATTGGCCTAGGATTGACAGTGATATCGAAACTATGGCGAGGAACTTCCCCGAGTGCATTTCAATACAGAAAGAACCCAAAAAGAGCGATACACATTTTTGGGAATATCCTTCGTATCCATGGGAAAGAATCCATATTGACTTTGCGGGTCCCTTTTACGGTCACAGTTTCCTGCTTGTCATAGACGCCCATTCAAAATGACCTGAAATCTTTATAATGAACTCAACTACAGCTCAAGCTACGATTACAAAGCTCAACTCTCTTTTTGCCTCTTTCGGATACCCAAAAGTGCTAGTAAGTGATAATGCCGCAACCTTTACAGGCATAGAATTCCAACAGTTTCTTAAGGCAAGAGGAATTAAACATATCACGGGAGCACCCTTCCACGCAGCGTCAAACGGACAAGTTGAACGCTATGTCCAAATTTTCAAACAGGCACTGCGAGCTATGAAAAATCCTGGTCACGGTTCAATGCAAGAGAAACTCAACACCTTCCTACTAGCCTACCGAAGAGCGCCTAATTCAACAACTTGTCAAAACTCCAGCCATGCTGTTTCTCAAGAGAGAGTTACGCTCAAACTTAGAAATTCTACGACCTAATATTCAAGACATTGTTGAAAAACATACAAGAGGCGATAAGTTCGAAGTTAAGAGCAGAAGTTTTGAAGAAGGCCAAAAGGTTGCTGTAAGGAACTATGCCAATCCAAACAAAAAATGGTTGGTAGGGCGAGTAGTAAGCCGTGATGGTGAACTTAATTACACTGTCTCAGTCAACAACAATTTGTGGAGAAGACATGCTGATCAAATTAGGTCTGTTGGAAGTGATGTACAAGAAACAGTAGAGCCAATTTACAATACACCCAGAATCGGTAGTGATTCCAACCTACAAAAAGATGCCAGCCCATCAGTACCACTTGCCCAAGAAAAGCCTCAAGTAAAGGAATTAAGTTTTCAAGAAGCTGTGCCCGCAACTACATGTGACACAGTCAGAAGTACCTCGGCCGAGTACCATGTTCCAAGTACTACAGCCTCGACACCTGTTCTCCGGCGGTCTTCCAAGATTCGGAAACCGCCCCAGAAGATGAATCCTTAAGGAGGGAGATATCATGTATATATGTAAATAGTGTATATAGCAAGATGAACATATAGATTAAGCCTGCCTACAAGCTAACCAAAAAAAAAATACCATGAAGATGCTAGAAACGGAACAAGGATTTGGTCTTCTCTATCCGGCAATGAAAGTGAGTAGTTGTATCAAAGTTTCTACATACGTTTTTACATAAGTATTTTAATCCATTATAATCGGCATACCCTTAGTATAAATTTACGTGTTTAATATTTTAAAGAGTCAAAGACCATAACGTATCAAAAACTTGACAACAGTGCTGGTATATATAAGTAACAAAGTTGAATTTTGATGGGAAGCCAAAGATGAAGGATTATAATGAAACATTCAAACAACTGACAACATGCTTCAAAACTGAAAACTATAAACACCTTATCTGTTCTCCATTAGGAAGTGTCAGAGACAAGCTGCCAATCAAGCACAATTTACCAGACATTGTTCAATTTCAAAGGGAAACTTTAGCTAAAGTTGGTATTGTAAAATACAGGCAGAACTTGGATAGAAGAGTTTTGAACAACAGTCTTGAACAGAAGTTTATAATTACCTTTAACTTTTTCCACCAATGTTCAGGCACTCAGACGTGGGAACGCAGCCTATGCCGCCTCAGCTATAAGTATTTTATGACGTACGACATCATAAGCCGTATAATACTGGTAAAGGAACCCTCCTCCCAGTACCCATTGATCGGGACCGGTGGAGCTCTCCCCTGGCTGGAAAGCTGATGGGCATATGGTAATACCTGAGTAGGAGACCTGTAGAACAAATTATCAAGTCAGAACTCTTTATTTGCCAGGAAATATTAACATAAATACATTGGCTATTGGCACGTCAGTAATTAGATAAATATAGCTACAGTTTCTTTATTTACGGTACGTTATATAGGTACAAATCTACAAGTTAAAACCAGCGGCAGTCCAGGTTGCAGTCATAAATTTGTTAGGGTATAAACAATTGTTTGTGAAAAAAAATAGAGGCCTTAAGAAGTGTCTTTTTTTCTGGGTTTTTAACAAATGTTTGGATCATGTCACGTATAAGTGGACCACTTCCCGCACATAAATATCCAAATTTGCTTTTATATGAATAAAACAAAGATAAATATTCAAACATGAGTTCATTTTGAGGTTTGCAAAATAGGCCAACAATTTTCATATTCCTCTACAATGTCAATAACATGCAAAGTATGTTTTTGTATTAGTAAAATGTCATCATTATGCAGAGAGCAACCCCACACACCGAGATCCAATGTAATAAGTACAACGTCTAGAATGTACTTTACCCTTAGTACATTTGGCGGCTAATGTCACTCAATTCCCTTATTGAGAGCTACCTCCAGTTGTATATCTAGCTCAGTGGTTAACAGCATAACCAGTGGCGTAGCCAAGGGGGGGGTTTTGGGGGTCATAACCCCCCCCCCCCTTGACGATAGGATTTTGCCCTTAAAAACCCATAAAGACTCCTAATACTGTATAAATGGTCATTATTGTGATGATTAATTTTCTTTTCACAATTAAAAGACAATAACAGTAGTATTGCGCAATCATAATAAGTTGTCATTAACTCTTGGATCAGTAATACAAACTTTAACGTTTAAAATCATAGCTAACTCAAAGTTTTACTCAAACAAAAACATTTCCAAACACTGAAACACTGTACTGTACAGAAATGAATCGCGTAAAGAACAGAAAAATAGATAGTCTAAGCTAGTCATAGGTTTACTGCTACGTGTTTACTGCTACGTGATGTTTTGGGACAGAATAGGCTAAGTGTGATCTGTGACTCAGCAGACAGACAGATGTGTAAGGAAAGGAGCAGACGACTGTCAGTGCTAGCGCGTAGCTTAAGTGACCTTGAAGCTATCAGCCGATTTTTTTTGTCATGCTTCCATTTTATTTTTGTCAATTAAAATGTGATGTTTCAAAAACAATAATGTGAGAACCTACTGCATATAAATAATAATGGTAAAAAACTAGTTAAATTAAATATACAATGCATAAAACACATTAGACTTAAGAAACACAATTTATAAATCAATTGTGAAGTAAAAGTTCTTGGTATTGGATAATGAGGTTATGTAACATAATTTTAGAAGCATTTATATTGACCACTCTGGTTAATCAAGGTTCTTAATAGACAAAAGATTACGTATCTACTGAAAGAAAAAAACTGGACCTCACTGCTATTTAACTTATTATGATAAGTTCTTAAGTGGAACTGTGCAAATGAGGAATATTAAAAAATCAAATGTACTAGGGGGTATAAATAGCAATTCAACTACTGTGTCACGCATCTTACACTTGTTTTTTTATGACCACTAGTTATTTTTTAAATGGTCCTAAACAAACCTTATTATTATTTCTTCTCAAATTTTACGGCTGTGGCCCTCAAACCCCCCCCCCCCTCCAGATCAGCTATGTGAAACCCCCCCCCCTTGACATAATCCTGGCTACGCTACTGAGCATAACCAAGATCTTTAACTTTACATCCATGCTTAATACAAGATAACCGCATCAATTACAAGCTGGAATGTATGTAAAATACTGGATTGGCCATTTTGTAACCGATGGTACTACAAAAAGGACCCTGATCAACTATAAAATGACCGATTGGCAGTTCTAGATCATTATTTGGTACTATATTGCAAATAAAGATTACACCTCACTTTGAATCTAAGTATTTATAATTTTAAAGATGTTTATTTATATCAAATCAAGATAAAATGATATCATATTTAACAATATGGAAACATGTTGCAGCAACCACAGCAGTAATAAAACAAAACAATTACTGGCAATGGTTATTATATCAGCAACCCTGTGTGAATTCAAATGAAAAAAATAATAGCAACAAATTAACATAACTTGTTAAGTTAAAAGATAATCACAAAGTATTTTTATCTATTGGTGTTGAGTGAATTGGTTATCAACACAAGTGGGTAAAAGTTTACTGGCATTGGTGATACAATGGCATGTAATGCACTCAATTAAAAGTGACAGCAAAAATAATACCTTCTGAATGTAATCTCGAGCAAGGATCATGAAGTCCTGATTGGCAATGGTAAACTTTACCTTTGGTCCCTTCAACTCATTGATGCATGGAATCTGAAAATAATGTTGAAATTTAAAATGAACAATCAGAAAATTTCCAATAATCAGATAATTACCATCCACTTTAGAATAAAGTGTCACAATAATTATGAGTTCTAAAAATTTTGAACCAGTTGTAAATAACCGTTCTACTTATGATGGTACACTCTTAATGAAATGAAATGAAATGAATGAAATGAAATGAAAAAATATCTTTATTCATATGGTATACAGTCGCATACATTGAATGGCGTCACTAGGCTTAAAACTAAATCAAACTAAATTACAATTCATCGAAACCATAAAGTGTTTTATCAGTCAACAAATGTTTCAGTTAATTTTTAAATTTGGAAATATTATCAATATTCCTCACCTCAGCTGGGAGTTTGTCCAAAAACCTTTTCCCTGCACAGGTGGTTTTTTTGTTAAAGAGCTCCAAATTATGGACACTGACAGCAATTTCATTTCTGTTCCGGGAAAAATAATTATGACTATCACCAAGTTTTGGGACCAAATTAGCATTAGAAAGTTTTTTTGTGTGTAAAATTGTATGAAAATCATAAATACTATATACAGTCATTATTCCCAATTTTGAAAAATTTTGACGAGCTGACTCATCCCATTCTAAATTTAACATAATTAATGGATATTCTTAAAATTGGTTAACCCGTGTTTTGATTTACAGTAGAACCTTGATAACAAGACTCTCATGGGATTGTAAAATCAGACTTGTTATCAAGGTTGACTTCTTATCGAGGTTTACAGTAATATAACATGTGTTTAGGGGTAAAATAATTTCAAGGGGATTTGAAAATGACCCTTGTTATCAAGAGTGTCTTGTTATCGAGGGTTTTGTTATCGAGGTTCTACTGTATATTGTTTTATAAATATTCATGGAAATACACTCGCAGCAAATGTCCATTTGTCTGACTAAACAAATTTCCATTTGACTGGTTGGATTTTCCCTAAAATAATTTGTTAAAAATGACAAATATATTCCCCTCTTAAATAACATTATGTATGACGAGTACTTAGGTTTGCTGCTACATGGATGGTCTTTAAAGGGTCTTTTAGAAAAACTTAGAATTAAATAATGAAATTATTTCCTATAACAATTAAATGAGAATTTAAATTAAAAGTTTTTTGGAATTTTCTAAAAAAATCATTACTCGTAAAGCAGTGCTCCCATATACTAAAATATTTGTTTTGCTCTACAAAATGGTATGGAAAGAAATTTTGAACAAAATTGGATAGCTTAAATATGAATTATCGTGTTAACAGACACACACACATTTATTCAATGAATTTGAATGACTGGCATTTTTATCCTCTGGGGACAACAAATGGGAAAAAGAAAGCGGTCCTGGGTCCAGGTCTTAGTATGATACCTCTGGCAAGAGCTTATTTCCAATAAAGTAAATTTGCAAAAACTTTCAAAATTGTTGTTAGAAACATCTACTACCATTTGAATAAATATTTATTGGAAGCATCATATTTGATTAATAGACTCCATCTTATTTTTAATTATTGTGTAATTCTAGATAACGCAAGATTGACCAACAATGAAGAGTAGCTTTTTACACCATTCCTTGTACTGATGTACAACAACTAATAGTATTAAATAAAGACAATTTCATTTGATTTGATTCTAAAGAAGCCCTGATACCTGGACTCGGTTTTGTCGGTCCTCGGTATATCCGGCCACTTCTGGGTAAATAATAACAATATTTTTTTACAGTTTACAGACGGTAGTCGCAAGTACAAATCTTGGAGGAGGATTCTCACAATTGATCTGTTTGATTACGTTTTATTGTGCCACCTTCAGTTGAGCTAGTAGTATTATTGTTTTTATAATAGGTTGGTTTATCCGGCCAAGGGCTTAGTCTCGTGGTGGTTATTTACGAGGGTTGTTTTTTTTTTCAACCTCCGATAGGCTATATACAAAAGACAAGTTCATATAAAACATTAAATTTATTACCAAAAGTTTGGTCCATTTATGGTTACTTTTTGACATAATCACCAAAGAGATTGAGAGATTTGCTATATCTGTGCACCAGCTTTTTAATACCCTCTTCAAGAAAAGTGGCCGCCAGTACATTCAAAAAACTAAAAAAATTCAAAAAACAAAAAAATGTCAAAAAAATTTAAAAAATTTAAAAAAATCAATAAAAAATAAAAAAAAGACTTTAAAATTTCTAGATATTCAGTAAACAAATCAATAATGGTGAATCTGTGGTTTATTTAACCATTCTGCCAACTTGTTGAACCAGCTCATCACTGTCGTTTCAGATGACTTGGTTCAACAGTTTGACAGGATGGTTAAATAAACCACAGATTCGCCATTATTGCTTTGTTTACTGAATTTCTAGAAATTTTAAAGTCCTTTTTTTATTTTTTCTTGATTTTTTTAATTTTTTTGACATTTTTTTGTTTTTTGAATTTTTTTTGTTTTTGGATGTACTGGCGGCCACTTTTCTTGAAGAGGGTATTAAAAAGCTGGTGCACAGATATAGCAAATCTCTCAATCTCTTTGGTGATTATGTCAAAAAGTAACCATAAATGGACCAAACTTTTGGTAATAAATTTAATGTTTTATATGAACTTGTCTTTTGTTTATAGCCTATCGGAGGTTGAAAAAAAAACAACCCTCGTATAAGGGATTCTTGTTAACAATACAACCTGTTTTTACAGCTATGCTTTGTATAAACGTTTTTGTTACGAAAAGTTAAGTTTGATGAATGTTTTAATTTGAATCTTACCATGTATCGGTTTGAAAAAAATATTTCGGTGGCTCCAACGAGTCTGTTGATGTCATTTATCTCGTCAGCTGGACCGATGATGGTGTTGGCGCTGGTGTCAGCGAGAGCTTTACAACCATTCTTACAGTACTCCTTCTGGCTCTTCTTGCTCATCACTAGAGCGATTCTGCAAAAACATAAACAATGATAGAGATGACATGAGCGTCCATCAAACTTTTCCATAAGGGTGGCTGGGGGACTGAAGTGTAGCGAATGACCCCCAGTAAAAAGAGAGTTCAGGGCTCCTCCCCCAGAAATTGTTTAACATTTAAGTACAATTTGGATTGTAATTTTTTTACTAAAAATTCTTTATGTAGCCTATTGTAATTTTATTGTTTTTTGCAAAATTGGGTAATGTAGGGTCTCATAGGGCAGGGGGGGTTGGGCCCCCTGCCCATATTGATGGACGCCCATTGCTTTTAATGATCTTAGGGTTGTAATATATTAAATTATTACTCTATTGTCATTCTTATATTTATATTTTGAGTAATATTGTTTCCAGACAAACATCATAGCCACCGTATATTTGATGGGGTTTTATGAGAAAATCACCATTAAAAACCTTAATTTCAAAGAAATTAATAAACCTCTGGAGATACCATGGATCAATTAGTATCCAACCACTAAATTTCATTAAAATGGGACCAGTCTGGTCTGTAGCACTGAGCACATCCACACACACAGATATAAAAAAAAAACTTTTTTCGGTTCAGTTCAGGGTGACCCAAAATGTATATATCCACTCAAACACAAAAATTTTGACCACAATACTTTTGCCATATAGTAGTTTGTATTAGGGGTGTGCGAGTACTCCAATCTTCGAGCTTTTTGGTCGAGCTTTTCATTATTCGGCTCGGTTCGAGGCATTTTGAAAAAGCTCGAAGTTCGAGCCGAGCTTTTAATACTAAGTCAAAACTAAAAAAACCCCTTAATTTGGGTCGTAATTGAAAACAATGTTATCACAATTCTACGTTGTTCATGCATTCGAGGTTTGATAAGCACGAACCTCAGCTCCGTCAAGACGCAATGATTATCGATCGTAATTTTGAGGATATAGGAAAGAGACAAACTACCACCTATCGCGTTGTCTTTCTAACACAGCTATTCCAACGCAGTGCGAGTGCGTGATTGGCTCGCCGCTATGACGACACAGGGTTGCCGTGACAACCTACAGTGCGCACTGAGCACTGCGCCTTGTGTGGGAGGGGAGATTATACCAACAAACTATTTCAGGAATTCTATTTTGGGACGGATGAAAGATAAGGAAGAAACAAAAAGTGGTCACGTGTGCAAATGTAGTGGGCGACACAATAAGGCTGTAAACATCGTCGTGTCGTTGTTCCTTGTTTGTTTACTTTTTCAACTCCTTATCAAACGTCCCTATCTGTTATCTCTCTTTCTCTCTCTTTCTCTCCCTCTCTCTCTCTCTCTCTCTCTCTCTCTCTCTCTCTCTCTCTCTCTCTCTCTCTCTCTCTCCCTCTCTCTCTCTCTCTCTCTCTCTCTCTCTAACAATGTACTGATTAAACAGATTGTGGTTGACGACTTTTCTACTTATAAGTTTCCCTGCAGTAATTTTAGTTCAATCAATCCCATAACCTTTTTAATGTTTATCAAAATAATTAATAATCTGTTTTGTATTTTATTTCCTTTAAACCAACCCCTATTTACCATCTGTATTTTATAGAATAAAATGTTTGTTTATAAAGTTTGACTGGCCACACAATTTTGTACCTATTTTATTTTGTATAAAGGAACAGTTACTTTGATGATTATATATATATCAATAAGTGGTGCATGCTGTAATGAATGCTTTTTATTATCAAAATAAGTAATGAATTATTAATTTTTGATAATACATGGGTCATTGAATACCATAATGTGATGTAGTTTCCTATTTGTAGCTTGCAAATAATAATAGTTGATAGTTAATTCTGGAAAATGAAAAATAGTGATCGCATTCATAAACCTGTTGTCAAAACAGCAACGAGGGTGTAAGGGTTTATTGTTTCAGAGGCTAGGGTGTTTTAAGGACAAAGTGTTGGGCCTCCCGGCTCAGGGAGGAGGGGGGCGGTGAGACTGTGTGAAGGGGAGGAAACTGGTTTTGGCTATTTATTGATTAGTTCGCTGACCCTTCTAGATAACAAAATTGAGTGACAGTGTTAAATCATCGTGTTCTTTATTTCATTTCTTGTTTACTTTGTGTGTTATTCTATTGATTTTAGTGTTTTGGTCTATTTCCTCTATATGTCAATTATATCTTTTTTAATATATAAGTTTACTTTTTACTTGTCTCTCCACCTTTTTGGATCCAAACAAACAATGTTCTTTTTTGATTAATACGATTCATAAAACAAAAATATTTTGTGCATGGAAAACAACAAGAATAGTCACGTGTTTTAAAATTTATTTTGTATTTATTTATACAAAATAGAATTAAATACTGTATTCATAGTAGTTACAATGTACATATGTTATCGACTTGCTAGTTGTTTTGTCGTCATTCAAGGTCGCGTTGCTGTTCTGTTATGAAAGACAATCTGATTGTCTCAGTCTGCACTGCATATCTCGTCAGGCCTTCAATCGATATCCTTTTTTTCTTGCATCTTAATTTAGTTCAGTTCAGTTCTTTTCGTGATTATCTACTATTTATTGTCTTGACAATTCTCAAATGTTTTTAAACATATTAAAATAACATTGTGTTTATTTAAAAATTGACTGAACATTATTATTATTAGGAAAAGCTTATTGAGGAAAAGCTCGGCTCGAAAAAGCTCGAGCTCGACAATTTTTTAAAAAGCTCGGCTCGGCTCGGCTCGAGGTTGAAAATCACTATTCGCACACCCCTAGTTTGTATATCGTGAGAAAGTGAAAAAATACAGTATGAATGCTAATATCAGTAGCAAAAAAACCAAATGATTCTTACTTGTCCACTTGGAACTCCCAGTAGAAATCAGAAGTCACATCTAGAGTGGTAAAGGCCGTTTTGTTGTGTTTGTAGTCAATTCCCCCGAAGAAGATGGAGCCTCCTCGTTTTGTGGTAGGATCTCTATAACACATAATCAATCAATAAATCAATCAATCATTATTTGCCATAAGGATACATTTACATATCATTGACAAAGTCTATTTGCAGTTTTTAAACCAAGTCTTAACATAAACAACAAAATACTCTTACAGGCCAAATATTACAATTAACATTCAACTCCATTCACATTCTTAACTGAAATGAAAACCAAACTAAAGGACAATTTCTCCCAGTTTAAAATAATCATCCAGACTATAAAAAGGGTTCTGAAGTAGATAACTATAAAACATAGCCTTAAATTTTTTAATTGAATGAAAATTTATATTATTTTTTACTGAGTTATACACTTTAATTGATAAAATGATGTGGCAATTACTAGTTTTACTAAGACGATGGGATTCTAACAGCGCAGTATTTTTAAAACGAGTGTTGTGACTGTGATTATTAAATTGAAGATATTCAGGGTTTTTTAATATATAAACAATCAGATCATAAATGAACAAATTTACTGCAGTTTGAATTTGCAGATCTATAAAAAGAGGTTTGCAATGATCAGGGTGCGTCCCTGTCATAGCTCTTAAAGCCCTTTTTTGGAGAATCAAAATTTCTTTTATTCTACCACTAATAATAATAATAATAATAATAATAATAATAATATCTTTATTGCCGTGAAACAAATATAAAATTGCATGGCATCCGTCAACATTTAATACAGGCATAACAAGTGACAGCAAAACAAATAAATACAACAGCATAAAACAATTAAAAATACTCATGATTAAAAAATTACACAGAACTTGTCATTTGATTGATTTAGAACCTCAGAGCAGCCGAACACCATCTACTCATTTGTGTCAAAAAACTTACCCACAGTGTAATATTCTTTATTAATCAGATATCTTTTTAAAATCAGTTTGAACCGTTTTTCGTTCCTTTCTTTCCTTATTTGTTCAGGAAGACTATTCAAAAATCTCACCCCCGTCTGAGAGGGCAAGCTTGAGGCTGCTCGGGACCTGTTTTGGGCCAACCTATATTGTTCTCTGCCTCGAGTTGAATACGAGTGAATGTCCTGGCCTTGTGTTAGGCTGCATTTAAATTTGGAAAACGTGGCAGCTTCCAAGATATACAGAGAGGCAAGAGTAAGCAGGCCCAGCTCCCTGAAGACGGCCCTACAAGACTCTCCCACCTGTAGTTTAGCCACTATTCTGAGTGCTCTCTTTTGAAGACGGAACAACCTGTGGAAGTCCACTTCTGCACATCCACCCCAGATTGCAATTCCATAAGAAAGATGGGGGTAAATAAGGCCAAAGTAGGCCATTAGCAAAACATTTTCTGGACAAAATTTTGAGAGGACTCTTAAGGCAAAACAGCCTGAAGATACTCTCGTACAGACGTTGTCAAGGTGGTTACTCCAAGTGAGCCCCCGGTCAATGGTGATGCCCAGAAACTTAAAAGAATGAACTTGTTCAATTTGTGAGTCATCAATCATTACCGTTACAGTCTCACTTGGTTCACCGTGCCTGTGAAAACGGATAAAATTTGTTTTTTGAGAATTTATTTTCAAATTGATGTTTTCAAAAAATTGAACACATGAATTTAGATCTACAAAAGTTTTGATTTCTAGATTTGGAAGATTGTTGGCACTGCAACAGAGAGTCGTATCATCAGCATATTGAGCCAATTTGCTAGATCCAGATGATGAAGACAGATCGTTAACGTAAATCAAAAATAAAATTGGACCAAGAATGGATCCCTGCGGGACACCATACTTTAACAGAGCTGGTTTTGAAAGATGATTTGAGACCTGCACCTGTTGAGTTCTGTTTGAAAGGTAAGATTTTATCCAATGCAACGGAACACCTCGAACACCGTAGTGTTCTAATTTTGACAAGAGGATACTGTGGTTGACGCAGTCAAAAGCCTTGGTAAGATCTAGAAAGACACTGAGTGTCGGGTGATGCTTGTCCGGATTCTCAATTACCTTACTGACAAGGCTATACACTGCATCCACTGAACATTTCCCCCTTCTGAACCCGAATTGATCAAATGAAAAAATGTTGTGATGATTGAGGAATGCTAACAATTGAATCAAGAACAGTTTTTCAAATATTTTGCTAAACACAGGCAAGAGAGAGATGGGACGGTAGTTGTTGGCATTGAGTGGGTCCCCCTTTTTAAAGATTGGAATAACTTTTGCCCTTTTCAGATCTTCAGGGAAACACCCACTCTTAAAAGAGGCATTGACTGCTTCCGTCAATGGACGTAATATATGCTCAGACAGTTGCTTAAGAAGCCACACAGACATGCCATCGACATCTGTTGATCTCTTCGACGGTAGTTGATTTATGACAGTTGCAACTTCCTCCTCTGTTACGGGGAAAAGTCCCATAGACATAATAGGACTATCACCTATCACTGGCTGCATATTTCTCAAAGATGTCACATTTGAAATTGCTACTTGGGAAAAATAATCATTAAGGTAGTTTGCCACATTCGAAGGTTCTGTGACTACGCCACTGTTTATTCTTACATGAATAGGTTTTTCAGTTTTCTGGCCTTTTATATTGTTGATCACACCCCATGCTGATTTTGAGATATTGTCACTAGCTTTTAATTTTTTTCTAATTTCATAGGATTTCGCTGCTCTAATTAGTTTTCTGTAAATTCTTTTGTAATTTTTAAAAAATATTTTGAAATTTGCATCTCTTGTTGCTTTAGCCGTAATATAGTGTTGCTTTAGTTTTTCTCTAGATACCAAAATACCTTTAGTTATCCAAGAAACATTTTGAGATTTTTTTTTTTATTTTCATCTTTCTTCTTGGACAGTTTGAGTCAAGGTGATATCTAAAGCTGTACATGAAATGTTGAAAAACATCAACTGATTTGGTGTTTGATAAATAGTTACATTGCTCATTTTTTAAACAGGCTTTAAATGATTTAATTGTTGAGGGGTTGACAGTCCTTCCCTCATAAACCAAGGAGGGAGTAGTTGCTGGAGAACAATCATGGATATATATCTGCTGCGCATCATGGTCTGAGATGGCTGTAGTAACAACTGATGTTACCAGATTTTCACAGTTTGAGATTACATTGTCAATGGCACTAGACGAGGTTGCAGTTACACGTGTGGGTGAGTTTATGCGCCATTGCAAACCAAAAGACTCTAAAAGGTCTCTCAGCTGTTTAGTCTCAGGAAGAGAGGCATCTAGTACATTGATATTGAAGTCGCCAGCAACTACGAATTGACTACTCCTTGAGCTTAAGTCGCTCAGCAAAATCTCAAAATTTCGAAAAAAAGCATTTAGAAGACCATCAGGTGACCTATATAGACCTATGATGATTATAGGGCTTTGATTTGACGTTGTTACTTTCACTCCAGCAACTTCGAAGTCTTTGTCTGTGGTATTCGGAACAGAAATAGGCGCATAGACTATGGGAGACCTAACAAATATTGCGACGCCACCACCTTGAAACCTCGACCTGACAAAAGAATTAGACATTTCAAAATTGTTTATATGAAAATACTGAATATTTGCAGGCTTGAAATGATGCTCAGTAGCAACAAACACATCTGGCTGAAGCTCCTCACACAGAAGCTCCAATTGGAGAAGTTTGTTTGTTGCACACTGAACATTTTGATGCACTATTGATAATTTAGTACCTAATTCGGGGCTACAAGGGTGGCGCCGGTCGATGTTAGTAAACAACTGCTCTGAGATTGACTCGGAATTCCTAAAAAAAGAGTGTGAGTGGAATTAGATACTACGTTACATACAGGTTTATAACTTTGTGAAAGAGGTTCTGAATTGGTTAAATTTAAATTAGTTGGTTGGAGGTCTGGAGTCAGTAGTGGAAAGTCTTGCAGACAGTTGAGTTTTGGTGGTGGTGGTGATGGTGAAGAAGGTGATAGGAGCTGTACCTGGTGAGTCTTAGAGATGGATGGTAGTGGCGTGGACTGCTTGAGAGGAGCATGATGTCGCTGATGGACCGGAGGACTACGTAGATGGGGCACTGCAGGCGGAGATGTATTCTTTGGCATCTCTTTTTGCGAGGTGACTGTTAAAGATGTTGAGTCTCTTGTAGCCTGTCTGATAAGTCTGGTAAAATGATCTGCCAGTAGCTGTTTGCCCCTCCTGTTGTAGTGTAGACCATGTCTAGTGAAGTGTGATCTGTTAAGTACTGCATTGACATCTACATAAGAGAGGTTGGCCTGTCCTTTGTAGTCCTGTATCCTGTGAGATATGTTCCAGTTTGCATAATAAATGTTGTTGTTGATTGAAGGAGTATCGTAGCGGTAAGGTATGCTATTAATAAGGATATTAGATGTCACGTTCACGGAAAGAAGAGATTGGACACCTTGGGTAACAGTTAGTTGTGAAGGCTCGTTTTGATGTAGATCATTTGACCCTGCTAACACAATGACAAAATCCTCCTTGCCGAAATTGTTGATCATACTCATCCCATCTCGAACAACATGTTTAAGTTTAGCACCAGGCTTGGTATAGACAAAAATTTCAAAATCCTCTTCTAAATGTTTCAGATACTTGCCAAAATCCTTGCCTTGACTGTCGGCTAATAAAGTAAGGCGCCTTTTATTCCTTGGAAAATCAGAAGATCGATTTAACTGTTTTTTATTAGATTTTGTAGATGAAGTCGAAGGAGGTTCAGCTGATTTGTGAACTTGAGCCAGAACCTCGACTCTTACGCCGTCACAAGGTGGTACACGGATTTCTTCAGCAAGAGCGGAGAATCTGTTTGAAGTTATAATTGGTTGTACATCTTGAGGATTTACTATGTTTTTTTTTACTGTGTTCTTTGGAAGTGCAAACTCTGTATTCCCAGGAATTAATCCACTATTATTCATTCCTTGATATAGAGAGTTACTTTCACATTGTAATATATTTATGACTGCATCTTTATCCTTTAAGTCTTCGTGCATCTTTAACTGAACTTGTTTCAGGTTTTCAATTTGAAGTTTTAATAATTTTATATCTTCTTCCGCCTTTTCTTCAAAGTGCAATGAAACTTCAAAATTTTCTCTCCTCTGAGCTTTTTCTTTTTCCAGTAGCTTTACTAACGTTTTATTTTCCTCAGTTAGATCATAAATATGTTTCTTCAAATCGTTATTGACGGTAGTTGATGCATCCAATCTATTTAAGGTACTCGTTATATCTGGTATTAAATCCACTATAGCTTCATTACCATACTTTTCCGCTACAACTGAAAGAGTCCCACGAAGGTTTATGGCAAGACCCACCACATCATCATTTACCAATTCACCTCTAAGGCTTTCAAGACCATTTTCAGCTTCGCGTAATAAATTCTCGCGACCACGACGAGTAATTGGCTTGGACATATTTCACTTCCTTCAATAATCTCAATGCAAGTTAGCAGTACAGCACTGTCATGCGGGTTAGTCTACCCTTGCGTTGAAGGCCAATAGTCTACCACCCCAAAGCACCAATCCGTATCTCATGATTGACTGGAAGTACACAAAATAGGCTGTCCTTACATATTTCTTAGGAACCTGATTTACAAGCCATCCTAAAAGATGCACCACCCGAGACAATCTTGAAGATAAATAATCTATGTGAGCATTTCATGTAAGTTGATTATCAATATGAAGGCCCAAAAATTTTACAGCTGTGCTATTATTTATATCACTCTTAGTGGGGATTTGTTTTAGTGTAAAAATCATATTTTGGGTTTTTTCTTCATTAAGCAAAAATCCATTCGCATTAAACCAATTTGATGCTTTTAGCTTTGTTTCATGGACAAGATTTTTTAGTTCTGTTAGGTTGGGGTTTACATGAAAAAATGTTGGTTTGTCAGCATTTAGAATAGTTTGACTCTTTACTGCCAATGGAAGGTCATTGAAATAAATTAAAAATAAAAGTGGACCAAGGACTGAGCCTTGGGGAACGCCCCATTTTACATTCTTTTCTTGTGACGTATTACCGTTAATACTTACTATTTGTTTACGATTGTTTAGGTAAGATGAAAAGAATTGTAGAGATGGCCCTCGAAACCCATTTTGTAATTTGTTTATAAGAATTTTAAAATCAACACAATCAAACGCCTTGCTCAGGTCACATGTGCATGTTTGACAGTCTATTTGTTATCCACACAGGGACACAGTGCTTATTTAAACCTGAATACGAGTGAAAGATCAGTGTGTAGCAAAGAAAATGACAATAGAAATAATAGTAATGCAATTTTTAACAAGTTTTCTCAGGTGGAAAATATTTTCCACCTGAGACTTGTTAAAAATTGCATTACTATTATTTCTATTGCCATTTTCTTCGCTACACACTGATCTTTCACTCGTATTCAGGTTTAAATAAGCACTGTGTCCCTGTGTTAATGTACCAGAATCAGAATCTCATTGTCATTTGTCAACATTACACAATAGACAACACCAAAGAAGAACAGTAATATGCTGTCTAAAAGAAAATAGTATAGTCTGCAAGTGTTGGTTTTTAAGTTAGGGCTGTTTGAATAGTTCCTTAGTTGGCATGTAGGTTGCAACGCTGCTTACTGGCAAAGTTTATTAACAGAAAGGCACCGTTTACAGTTCTATAGCTAACATGTACACTTAGCTGTGTGCCTAGAAAACTTTTTAAGATATAGAATTTCACGCCGCATACGAGATAAGGTCATTGGTATGTTTTTAGACTGTAAGAAACATATCAGCTGGATTAGGGAGCTTAAAAATGACTATGAAAATATCAATTTCTTAAGGAATTGTGTTTAGTGTTTTTGTGGATACTTTTCATAGAAAACCACAAAGAAAAAAGGTTTTCACAATTTATTTTTGTTATATAGTATATTATTGATTAAATTGTGCATATTTATGAAAATAGTTGTTGAGTTTGAGTGAGAGTTGAAAGTGGAGAGGATTTTCCATTGTCACGTGATTTAAAATGTTTTCTGTTGCTTTCACCCCCAACAAACCCAAAACATCTTGCGCCTCTGGGTCCGAGCACATTTGAAAGCAAGCCTGGATTTACCTTTAAATCAAATGGTATTTAGTGTAATTGTTGTTGTTATAATACCGTATTATCATTCCATGTTTTTGTAGTTTTTATACAAGTACATATTTTTGTCCTTTGTTAATTCAATAAACAATTGTATTCTCTCTGTAACTTAATTTATGTAAACATTGTGAATCTATGTTAAATGACTATGTAATATTTTAACTGTCTTGTGTATGGTTGCCAATATAAATAAATTGCCTATTACAGGACAGATAATGATCCCAGACAGCACAAGGATATTTTATAAATATTTTTAAAACATATATCCATCTTAAAAATATTTTATATATTTTAATATTATTTTTAAAATCTATTTTTTTAATTTTTGAATAATATTTTAACATAATAGTTTTAAAATATTTTAAAATGATTTTTTAATTGTCTTAAAAATATATTTTGTAAATATTTTCTATTTTTCGGTTGAATATATTTACAAAATATTTTTAATATATTAAGACAAAATAATTTAGTTTTTTATGTAAAAGATATTTTTAAAATATTTTATTTACCATAAAAAATAGCTTTTAAAAATATTTTTATAGAATTGTAACTGTAAAAATATTTTTAAAAACACTTTATAACACCTTTATAAAGAATATTATAGAAATATTTTATAAATAGCCTGTTTAGGTTTTAAAAATATATTTTGGTTACTTGTTTCAACCGAGCTGGGTAAAATATATTTCCCACACATTTAAAAAATATATTTTGACAGCAAATTTCTTGTTCCTTAAAGAATTGATTTAGGGCCATGACTAAAAGACTTTTTTAAATAATTCAAGTAGCTTATACTAAAAATTGCATGTATATTACAGTTGTCACTCCAAAAATAATTCCTTTTTTCCAAACAGTTAAACAAAATGTTTAGACTATCTTATAAAAGTGAACTTTTAACATACCGGATGTCCGCCCAAGTAGCACACATTGTTATTGTTGGCCCAACGTTGGGAAATGGTCGGTACGGTTATGAAATCTATAGTAAATTGGATCTATAATTAATAGATTTAATTATAGATTATAGAGCAGGGAACACCTGCTTAATATAGAACAATTAAAATAATGCATTTTTTTAATTAATATTTTTTAACTTATTTGAGTTAATTTTTAATAGATGAACAATTTAAGGGGAAATATTAATTAATGTTATAATAATAAATTATAATAACATTACTAATCTAATTGTAATTAAATAATCTTTATTCAAATACTAGTACCCTCTCCAACTCCCAGAAAAACAATTCATCTACTTGATGCCTAAGCAGATTAACAGAATTATATTATATACTGTGGTATCAAAAATATTTCAAGTATTGCGGCCATTGCAACTGTCGGCTACTCTTTCACCACTTGAAAACTCTCAAAAACAACCAACACAGGTAGCTCAGAGGTAAGGTAGGAGGCTCACAAGGCAAAGGTACCAGGTTCAAACCCCCGTCCGGGCAAAAAAATTTTGTTCTAGTTTTTTTTTAATTTGTTTTTATGAACTATTTAATCAATTTACTCAACTAATAATTATGCTTTTCATACCAAATCTTTATAATTTAAAATATTTAAATACATTTTTTAATAATTTTTTAATAACATTTATAAAATATTAAAACAAAATATTTTATTAAAATATTTTTAGTATACATTGGGGGTGGAATAGGATGCATTTTTAAAATATACTTTAAAGATTAAAATAAAATATTTTTAAAACATCCTGTGCTGTCTGGGATTAACCTAGAACAAATTAGTTCAAAAGTTAACTCTTGTGAAATGTGTTTGGGACACACTCCTTAACATTTACCGAGAATTCCCAAAAACTTCAGCAAAATTTGCCATCTTGGAAAATGGCAGCGAAACAAATCAAACTTTCAAGGCTTTACGGAAGTTGAATAAATTTGAAGTTATAGCAATTTCCCTTAAACCTCGCAAGTATGATTTGTTTCGATGCCATTTTCCAGGATGGCGGATTTTGCTGAAATGGCATTTTTTGGGAATTCTCGGGAAATATTTAAGAGTGTGTCCCAAGCACATTCCAGAAGAGTTTATCCTTGAACTAATTTGTTCTAGGTTAGGGTCTTTTTTTGGATAACTGTCTTGTACTACAGGTAAAGTAACACATTGATCAATAGCTAATTGTCAATAAATTATACAAAAAAAAAGTGAACTGAAAACATACCTGTTAATGTAGAAAGAAAATATTGGAGCAATTTTGTTCTGTCTGTAGAAGTTGTAGAACAAAGGAGTGACACCGGGGGACAGTTTTTCCAAGCCTAGCCCTAGGGTTCCGTCTGCTTCATACAGAGCGTTTATCCATGGCAAATGTTTGAGTTCTGCAAACTTCTGATCTGTGGTATTCATCTGGCCAACCTGGGGAGCAAAGGTATGTTACAATTTCATCAACAAAAACATAGTGAGAAAATGTACAGGAAACTTTTTTTAACAACTTATAACTCAAGCTTGGGGCTGATTTTCACATTATTTAAACTTTTCACATATTTTTAAGCGGTTTGTAAATACATTCAGTCTGATGGGAGCATTTATACACTATGGTGTAACCACTCCCTCTTCAAGTGCTGCAGCCAACTCCGATGGCAAATATAGTATATTTTTGAAACCGAGTGTTTATTAGTTTTGGTAATATCCTAGACTGCTTGTACTAATTCCTACTTACCTAACCAATCTGAAATTTCTTGCGTACCATACTTTGATGAATGTTCTGAATGGTTGTGCCCAACGTATATGATGTTACATATGGCTTTAATTTGCTTTAATTACTGCTTTAATTTGTTTGAACAACAGAGTAACACGGACCAATGAGGTTCAAGGATTGAGAGAGAAGAAGTAAAATTGTAATGATTCGAACTTCAACTAATCAGCTGTTTAGGCCAATTTAATTGTTGAGTGCTGCAATTAGTGTTTGGTACAATGTTTGGTTGCATCACTGACAGTGGCAATGAGAGGTTTAAACAAAAACATAACCTCTCTTAGAAGTAATGAGTAGTGATTTATAGTAATTAAAACACTGTCGTAGGTAAAGTAATGTATGCAACTTGCGTAAATAGTGTTAACGACACTTGTAGAAGGTTTTAACGCACTCGCCAAGGCTGGCACCTTAAATTTTCTACTCGTGTCGTTAACACACTACTACTATAAGTCCCCTGAAACAATGCACTATTAACTACAAATAATATTTTTGTTAAATCAAGTGTATAAAAAAGATTAGTGATTATTGAAAATGGATAAAACTTACCAAGAACAAGTCATTGGAAAGATATCCAACATAAGTGTTGGAAATGTTGAAGCTGGTGCCATCAGGTTTATAAGTCGATGATCTACTGTGGTCATATCTTTCATGTCGGGCTGAAAAATACATTTATACCTAAATCAATAATCACCTGTATCATAAATTTAATTAACCTATTTTAAAATCAGTAGGATATTGGCAAAAATGAATTCCAAACTGTTCTTCGAGGTCTCCTTTATAATTAAGCTCTCAAACTCTGGAACTTTTCAAAAAGAAACCTAAATATGCTGGTTTAAAATTGTATAACAAAATTTCAAAAAGCATTACAGATAAGGCATCAAATAAAAATTCAAGATTAAATTGTAGCAGTACTTCATCAAAAAAGCTATTTATTCTTTTGATGAGTTATAAGAAGTAATGTTAGTTTTTACATTTTTAATTCTAAGATACCTTTGTTTATCATTTTTCAATAACTGTATTTGGCACTATTTATGTGTATTCGATGCTACAAACAAATAAAGATTCTTTGAATTGAATGAGTGAACTTGTGGAGACTAGTGTATAATACTTCATGTCTTTTAAGCCATATGGGAAACACGTTTTAATATTGGCTTCCAATCGGCCACATAAAACAAAGACCAGCGAAACCAAGACAGGATAACTTAAGTTATAGTAAAGCACAATACCACAAGCTATGCTGACAGGGGGCATTCAACGGACGGAACCCAGGTGTAGGCCCAAGCCGTGTCCATCACCATTTTGAATGTCTTCTCAGGCTTGCCAATGTTGACAAAACCATAGTATTGGGTCTGAAAATATACTCATAAATAGTAAAGACATTAAAAGACTATAATAATGGTACAATACCTCGTCAAGTAATCCAAATGGTGATTGAGGTTATCAACCTACATGTTTCGCCGTTAATACGGCATCGTCAGGGTTACAAAAAACGAAGACATCGATGTCACACGCACACAATAAATACACGAAAACGAACATTTAATTATGAAAAGACAAAAAGTAAACATTTAATTGACATTGATAGGCCTATCACACGCACACGACACGGACGGTCCCGGCGCAGGTAGTAGACTGCAGTCAGACTCCTTCCTCGTTGTTGTCCATGTTATCAGTAGGACAAAGGTCAGGTGGCCGGTTATTTTGGTGAATTAGCACATTGAAAATAGAGTGTGACTGGAACTGCAGTTTTTCATTGAGGATATGTCCACTGGCGGTGTTGTCGTGGTATAATTTGTAAATTTCAAATTCCTCTAACGTGTTTAGTTTACTACCTTTCCTGCATTTATGTAGCACCTCAAAACCGTCAGCAATCTCACTCATGTTATGGTTTAGGTCGATTAAATGCTGGGCAAACGCTGAATTTTGTTTGATTAAACGTGGTTTGGGCCTGTGTTCATTGTAGCGAGTAGCGAACCCACGACCTGTTTGCCCAACATATTGGCTTGGACAATCTTGGCATTTAATTTTGTAAACACCTGTCATTTCCATTTTATCTCTTGATCGGTCAGTTTGTGACAGGGTGTTACGAGTACGGTTTGTAGTTTTGAATGTTAATTCGATTCCCTTTCTACGAAGCTCTTTGGATAGGCAGTTTTGTAATGTGTGGGAATATTCAATACATACGTACTTCTTACGTTCGTCCTTTTGTTTGACCTCTCTATTATGGTGTTTGATTATAAGTCTGTCTACAAGCCCGCTATTATAGCCGTTGGATATGGCTATATGTTTGATGATATTGTATTCATTACTGTAATTTGTGGGACTTAAGGGGACCGTTAGAAGTCTGTGTACCATAGAGCTGTATGCTGCAATTTTTTGAGAATGTGGATGATATGAGGTTGCGTGAATGGTCTGAACTGAAAAAGTGGGTTTCCTGTAGATTTTATAATCGAATTTATTGTTAATTTTAGTTATGGTTAAATCTAGAAAATGTATTGCGTTGTTGTCTTCTTCTGTTTCTAATGTGAACTTTAGTCTCGGGGCTATTTTGTTTAGATAATTTAAGAGTAGATCCAATTGCCTTTTATTGCCATCAAACAAGACAATGGTATCATCGACATATCTATTGTATAGTACTATTTTAGAATGATATTTGTTCTTGTCAGATAAAATGTACTCATTTTCAATATAATTTAAGTATATATCAGATAAAATTCCAGATAGTGGGGAGCCCATTGCCAGACCATCAGTTTGAGAATAATATTTCCCATTAAATGCAAAATAGTTTTGTCTCAAAATCTCTCTTAACAGGTCAATAATCTCTTTTATTGCCTCTGGTAACATAGCTGATTTGTTTGTTAAGTTTGTTTGTATTATATCTATGGTTTTTTCTACGGGCACATTCGTGTATAAATTCACTATGTCGAATGAGGCAAGCAAATGATGGTTTTGTATGTGCCAATCTTTAGTTTTGTCAATGAAATCATAGGAATTCCTTAGGCTGTGGTTATTGTCTAGGACTATGTTATCCTTTAGGATCCTTTCTAATCGTTTAGCGATATTATATGTGGGTGCGTTTGTGTAGTCGACTAGTGGCCTGATGGGAACACCTGTTTTATGAACTTTAGGAAGCCCCCGTAGTATCGGGGCTGATGGGTTCATGATACGTAGATAGCGGATATCGTTATCAGTGAATAACACTTTACTCGAATTTATCAGAGTTTTGATTTTTGTTTGATAATTTTTAGTGGGGTCTTTTTTTAGTTCAATAACTTCGTTGGCAGGTCGTGGGTTCGCTACTCGCTACAATGAACACAGGCCCAAACCACGTTTAATCAAACAAAATTCAGCGTTTGCCCAGCATTTAATCGACCTAAACCATAACATGAGTGAGATTGCTGACGGTCTTGAGGTGCTACATAAATGCAGGAAAGGTAGTAAACTAAACACGTTAGAGGAATTTGAAATTTACAAATTATACCACGACAACACCGCCAGTGGACATATCCTCAATGAAAAACTGCAGTTCCAGTCACACTCTATTTTCAATGTGCTAATTCACCAAAATAACCGGCCACCTGACCTTTGTCCTACTGATAACATGGACAACAACGAGGAAGGAGTCTGACTGCAGTCTACTACCTGCGCCGGGACCGTCCGTGTCGTGTGCGTGTGATAGGCCTATCAATGTCAATTAAATGTTTACTTTTTGTCTTTTTGTAATTAAATGTTCGTTTTCGTGTATTTATTGTGTGCGTGTGACATCGATGTCTTCGTTTTTTGTAACCCTGACGATGCCGTATTAACGGCGAAACATGTAGGTTGATAACCTCAATCACCATTTGGATTACTTGACGAGGTATTGTACCATTATTATAGTCATTTAAAGTAATCCAGGGGCCATCAACATGGAATTTAATAGACATTAAAAGGTTAGGTACTTTTAGCTATTAGCACACTAATCACTTTTCGCTATACTAAAAATTAATCAATTGGTTTCTGTAGTTTTTTCATACCAGAAAGTCATCTTTCATAGTAAGGCACCAGTAAAGTCAGCTGGAGTAAGGGTCAATTTAAGGATTGTTCTCGCGTGAAAATGACACTTTTTCAAAAAGCTATAATACAGTAGAACCTTGATAACAAGACTCTCATTGGGATTATTAATTAAGACTTGTTATCAAGGTTGACTTGTTTTTGAGGGTCTTCCTATCGAGGTTCAACTGTATGAGTTTCTTAGTAGGCTTTCAACGAAGCTACACTATAAATATTTTTCAGGTTTGACCAGGCCAATTGCACTTTCACAAATTAAAAATTGGAAACATACTCTTTAAAAATAGTTGACAATTCTGTTTGGTGAACTGTATATTTAATATTTTGTCATTAAATGGGTTGTTTTTAACATGCTGTGTTTAGCTGTGTGTAGTTTGTAGTGTGGCAAAAAAGTATAATATGAAACTCATTTGGGAAGATGATTACAGAGCTTGTAGTGCGTCACTGTCACTTTATTAAATGTAATGAGTAATGTAATTAAATGTAATAAAGTTGTTTTAGAATTTTTAAAGTTATGTTGTAACAGTTGTTTCAAGTTTTTTCACTTATCTAATGAATCAAGTGATTTCATTGCCAGGGACGTAACTAGGCTATTCAGCACCCATAGAAAACCACAAAAAAAAAAGTTTTTCACAATTTATTTTTGTTATATATTATATTATTGATTAAATTGTGCATATTTATGAAAATAGTTGTTGAGTTTGAGGGAGAGTTGGAGAGTGGAGAGGATTTTCCATTGTCACGTGATTTAAAATGTTTTCTATTGCTTTCACCCCCAACAAACCCAAAACATCTTGCGCCTCTGGGTCCGAGCACATTTGAAAGCAAGCCTGGATTATCCTTTAAGTCAAATGGTATTTAGTGTAATTGTCGTTATTATAATACCGTATTATCATTCCATGTTTTTGTAGTTTTTATACAAGTACACATTCTTGTCCTTTGTTAATTCAATAAACAATTTTATTCTCTCTGTGATTTATGTAAACATTGTGCATCTATGTTAAATCACTATGTAATATTTTAACTGTCTTGTGTATGGTTGCCAATATGAATAAATTGCCTATTACAGGACAGATAATGATTAACCTAGAACAAATTAGTTCAAAAGTTAACTCTTGTGGAATGTGTTTGGGACACAATCCTTAACATTTACCGAGAATTCCCAAAAACTTCAGCAAAATTTGCCATCTTGGAAAATGGCAGCGAAACAAATCAAACTTTCAAGGCTTTACGGAAGTTGAATAAATTTGAAGTTATAGCAATTTCCCTTAAACCTCACAAGTATGATTTGTTTCGATGCCATTTTCCAGGATGGCAGATTTTGCTGAAGTGGCATTTTTTCGGAATTCTCGGGAAATATTTAAGAGTGTGTCCCAAGCACATTCCAGAAGAGTTTATCCTTGAACTAATTTGTTCTAGGTTAGGGTCTTTTTTTGGATAACTGTCTTGTACTATAGGTAAAGTAACACATTGATCAATAGCTAATTGTCAATAAATTATACAGAAAAAAGTGAACTGAAAACATACCTGTTAATGTAGAAAGAAAATATTGGAGCAATTTTGTTCTGTCTGTAGATGTTGTAGAACAAAGGAGTGACACCGGGGGACAGTTTTTCTAAGCCTAGCCCTAGGTCTCCGTCTGGTTCATACAGAGCGTTTATCCATGGCAAATGTTTGAGTTCTGCAAACTTCTGATCTGTGGTATTCATCTGGCCAACCTGGGGAGCAAAGGTATGTTACAATTTCATCAACAAAAACATAGTGAGAAAATGTACAGGAAACTTTTTTAATAACTTATAACTCAAGCTTGGGGCTGATTTTCACATTATTTAAACTTTTCACATATTTTTAAGCGGTTTGTAAATACATTCAGTCTGATGGGAGCATTTATACACTATGGTGTAACCACTCCCGCTTCATGTGCTGCAGCCAACTCCAATGGCAAATATAGTATATTTTTGAAACCGAGTGTTTATTATTTTTGGTAATATCCTAGACTGCTTGTACTAATTCCTACTTACCTAACCAATCTGAAATTTCTTGCGTACCGTACTTTGATGAATGTTCTGAATGGTTGTGCCCAACGTATATGATGTTACATATGGTTTTACTGCTTTAATTTGTTTGAACTATTAAGAGTCAAAACAACAGAGTAACACGGACCAATGAGGTTCAAGGATTGAGAGAGAAGAAGTAAAATTGTAATGATTCGAACTTCAACTAATCAGCTGTTTAGGCCAATTTAATTGTTGAGTGCTGCAATTAGTGTTTGGTACAATGTTTGGTTGCATCACTGACAGTGGCAATGAGAGGTTTAAACAAAAACATAACCTCTCTTAGAAGTAATGAGTAGTGATTTATAATTAAAACACTGTCGTAGGTAAAGTAATGTATGCAACTTGCGTAAATAGTGTTAACGACACTTGTAGAAGGTTTTAATGCACTCGCCAAGGCTGGCACCTTAAATTTTCTACTCGTGTCGTTAACACACTACTACTATAAGTCCCCTGAAAAAAAGCACTATTAACTACAAATAATATTTTTGTTAAATCAAGTGTATAAAAAAAGATTAGTGATTATTGAAAATGGATAAAACTTACCAAGAACAAGTCATTGGAAAGATATCCAACATAAGTGTTGGAAATGTTGAAGTTGGTGCCATCAGGTTTATAAGTCGATGATCTACTGTGGTCATATCTTTCATGTCGGGCTGAAAAATACATTTATACCTTAATCAAAAATCACCTGTATCATAAATTTAATTAACCTATTTTAAAATCAGTAGGATATTGGCAAAAATGAATTCCAAACTGTTCTTCGAGGTCTCCTTTATAATTAAGCTCTCAAAAGCTCTGGAACTTTTCAAAAAGAAACCTAAATATGCTGGTTCAAAATTGTATAACAAAATTTCAAAAAGCATTACAGATAAGGCATCAAATAAAAATTCAAGATTAAATTGTAGCAATACTTCATCAAAAAAGCTATTTATTCTTGTGATGAGTTATAAGAAGTAATGTTAGTTTTTACATTTTTAATTCTAAGATACCTTTGTTTATCATTTTTCAATGCCTGTATTTGGCACTATTTATGTGTATTCGATGTTACAAACAAATAAAGATTCTTTGAATTGAATGAGTGAACTTGTGGAGACTAGTGTATAATACTTCATGTCTTTTAAGCCATATGGGAAACACGTTTTAATATTGGCTTCCAATCGGCCACATAAACCAAAGACCAGCGAAACCAAGACAGTAAAGCACAATACCACAAGCTATGCTGACGAGGGGGCATTCCACGGACGGAACCCAGGTGTAGGCCCAAGCCGTGTCCATCACCATTTTGAATGTCTTCCCAGGCTTGCCAATGTTGACAAAACCATAGTATTGGGTATGAAAATATACACATAAATAGTAAGGACATTAAAAGGTTAGGTACTTTTAGCTATTAGCACACTAATCACTTTTCGCTATACTAAAAATTAATCAATTGGTTTCTGTAGTTTTTTCATACCAGAAAGTCATCTTTCATAGTAAGGCACCAGTAAAGTCAGCTGGAGTAAGGGTCAATTTAAGGATTGTTCTCACGTGAACATGACACTTTTTCAAAAAGCTATAATACAGTAGAACCTTGATAACAAGACTCTCATGGGGATTATTAAATAAGACTTGTTATCAAGGTTGACTCCTTATTGAGGTTTGCAATAACATGTGATTTGGGGTAAAATAAATTCAAGGGGATTTGAAAATTACACTTGTTATCAACGATGACTTGTTTTCGAGGGTCTTCCTACCGAGGTTCAACTGTATGAGTTTCTTAGTAGGCTTTCAACGAAGCTACACTATAAATAATTTTCAGGTTTGACCAGGCCAATTGCACTTTCACAAATTAAATATTGGAAACATATTCTTTAAAAATAGTTGACAATTCTGTTTGGTGAACTGTATATTTAATATTTTTGTCATTAAATGGGTTGTTTTTAACATGCTGTGTTTAGCTGTGTGTAGTTGGTAGTGTGGCAAAAAAGTATAATATGAAACTCATTTGGGAAGATGATTACAGAGCTTGTAGTGCGTCACTGTCACTTTATTAAATGTAATGAGTAATGTAATTAAATGTAATAAAGTTGTTTTAGAATTTTTAAAGTTATGTTGTAACAGTTGTTTCAAGTTTTTTCACTTATCTAATGAATCAAGTGATTTCATTGCCAGGGACGTAACTAGGCTATTCAGCACCCATAGAAAACCACAAAAAAAAGGTTTTCACAATTTATTTTTGTTATATAGTATATTATTGATTAAATTGTGCATATTTATGAAAATAGTTGTTGAGTTTGAGGGAGAGTTGGAGAGTGGAGAGGATTTTCCATTGTCACGTGATTTAAAATGTTTTCTATTGCTTTCACCCCCAACAAACCCAAAACATCTTGCGCCTCTGGGTCCGAGCACGTTTGAAAGCAAGCCTGGATTAACCTTTAACACGTTCGCTGCTACGGACGTTCCGGAACGTCAGCCGGGCCACGGCGTTAGGAGCTAAGAACGTTCCAGAACGTCACCGTTCATTGTTGTTTAACGTTGCTATGGATAAGCCAGCACGTCACAAGCGTTCTATATTTCTTTGCAGCTCGTGGGGACGTACTTTTCTGACAATAAAAAATATAGTTTCCCAAGTCACCACCTGGGTCGTTTGGAACAGGGCTTTGTTTTACCTCTTTCCTGCTGGATAGCGATACTACTTTAACGACTGTAACCTGGGTAGTGCTGCTATCTATCAGAATCACTTAGTACTATATCCAAAGCCAGTTTTATTGCAGAACATTGCCATCCAGTATAACTACTGTTGTTTTTATTGTAATTCAGTGTATCGGTGGCAATGTTACGCAGCGGCCGAGCGTTAGTTCAGCAACTGGCGCCGTCCCGGCATCTAGCGCTCAGCAGCGAACGTGTTAAGTCAAATGGTATTTAGTGTAATTGTCGTTATTATAATACCGTATTATCATTCCATGTTTTTGTAGTTTTTATACAAGTACACATTCTTGTCCTTTGTTAATTCAATAAACAATATTATTCTCTCTGTGATTTATGTAAACATTGTGAATCTATGTTAAATCACTATGTAATATTTTAACTGTCTTGTGTATGGTTGCCAATATAAATAAATTGCCTATTACAGGACAGATAATGATTAACCTAGAACAAATTGGTTCAAAAGTTAACTCTTGTGGAATGTGTTTGGGACACACTCCTTAACATTTACCGAGAATTCCCAAAAACTTCAGCAAAATTTGCCATCTTGGAAAATGGCAGCGAAACAAATCAAACTTTCAAGGATTTACGGAAGTTGAATAAATTTGAAGTTATAGCAATTTCCCTTAAACCTCACAAGTATGATTTGTTTCGATGCCATTTTCCAGGATGGCAGATTTTGCTGAAGTGGCATTTTTTGGGAATTCTCGGGAAATATTTAAGAGTGTGTCCCAAGCACATTCCAGAAGAGTTTATCCTTGAACTAATTTGTTCTAGGTTAGGGTCTTTTTTTGGATAACTGTCTTGTACTATAGGTAAAGTAACACATTGATCAATAGCTAATTGTCAATAAATTATACAGAAAAAAGTGAACTGAAAACATACCTGTTAATGTAGAAAGAAAATATTGGAGCAATTTTGTTCTGTCTGTAGATGTTGTAGAACAAAGGAGTGACACCGGGGGACAGTTTTTCTAAGCCTAGCCCTAGGTCTCCGTCTGGTTCATACAGAGCGTTTATCCATGGCAAATGTTTGAGTTCTGCAAACTTCTGATCTGTGGTATTCATCTGGCCAACCTGGGGAGCAAAGGTATGTTACAATTTCATCAACAAAAACATAGTGAGAAAATGTACAGGAAACTTTTTTAACAACTTATAACTCAAGCTTGGGGCTGATTTTCACATTATTTAAACTTTTCACATATTTTTAAGCGGTTTGTAAATACATTCAGTCTGATGGGAGCATTTATACACTATGGTGTAACCACTCCCGCTTCATGTGCTGCAGCCAACTCCAATGGCAAATATAGTATATTTTTGAAACCGAGTGTTTATTAGTTTTGGTAATATCCTAGACTGCTTGTACTAATTCCTACTTACCTAACCAATCTGAAATTTCTTGCGTACCGTACTTTGATGAATGTTCTGAATGGTTGTGCCCAACGTATATGATGTTACATATGGTTTTACTGCTTTAATTTGTTTGAACTATTAAGAGTCAAAACAACAGAGTAACACGGACCAATGAGGTTCAAGGATTGAGAGAGAAGAAGTAAAATTGTAATGATTCGAACTTCAACTAATCAGCTGTTTAGGCCAATTTAATTGTTGAGTGCTGCAATTAGTGTTTGGTACAATGTTTGGTTGCATCACTGACAGTGGCAATGAGAGGTTTAAACAAAAACATAACCTCTCTTAGAAGTAATGAGTAGTGATTTATAATTAAAACACTGTCGTAGGTAAAGTAATGTATGCAACTTGCGTAAATAGTGTTAACGACACTTGTAGAAGGTTTTAATGCACTCGCCAAGGCTGGCACCTTAAATTTTCTACTCGTGTCGTTAACACACTACTACTATAAGTCCCCTGAAAAAAAGCACTATTAACTACAAATAATATTTTTGTTAAATCAAGTGTATAAAAAAAGATTAGTGATTATTGAAAATGGATAAAACTTACCAAGAACAAGTCATTGGAAAGATATCCAACATAAGTGTTGGAAATGTTGAAGCTGGTGCCATCAGGTTTATAAGTCGATGATCTACTGTGGTCATATCTTTCATGTCGGGCTGAAAAATACATTTATACCTTAATCAAAAATCACCTGTATCATAAATTTAATTTACCTATTTTAAAATCAGTAGGATATTGGCAAAAATGAATTCCAAACTGTTCTTCGAGGTCTCCTTTATAATTAAGCTCTCAAAAGCTCTGGAACTTTTCAAAAAGAAACCTAAATATGCTGGTTCAAAATTGTATAACAAAATTTCAAAAAGCATTACAGATAAGGCATCAAATAAAAATTCAAGATTAAATTGAAGCAATACTTCATCAAAAAAGCTATTTATTCTTGTGATGAGTTATAAGAAGTAATGTTAGTTTTTACATTTTTAATTCTAAGATACCTTTGTTTATCATTTTTCAATGCCTGTATTTGGCACTATTTATGTGTATTCGATGTTACAAACAAATAAAGATTCTTTGAATTGAATGAGTGAACTTGTGGAGACTAGTGTATAATACTTCATGTCTTTTAAGCCATATGGGAAACACGTTTTAATATTGGCTTCCAATCGGCCACATAAACCAAAGACCAGCGAAACCAAGACAGTAAAGCACAATACCACAAGCTATGCTGACGAGGGGGCATTCCACGGACTGAACCCAGGTGTAGGCCCAAGCCGTGTCCATCACCATTTTGAATGTCTTCCCAGGCTTGCCAATGTTGACAAAACCATAGTATTGGGTATGAAAATATACACATAAATAGTAAGGACATTAAAAGGTTAGGTACTTTTAGCTATTAGCACACTAATCACTTTTCGCTATACTAAAAATTAATCAATTGGTTTCTGTAGTTTTTTCATACCAGAAAGTCATCTTTCATAGTAAGGCACCAGTAAAGTCAGCTGGAGTAAGGGTCAATTTAAGGATTGTTCTCACGTGAACATGACACTTTTTCAAAAAGCTATAATACAGTAGAACCTTGATAACAAGACTCTCATGGGGATTATTAAATAAGACTTGTTATCAAGGTTGACTCCTTATTGAGGTTTGCAATAACATGTGATTTGGGGTAAAATAAATTCAAGGGGATTTGAAAATTACACTTGTTATCAACGAAGACTTGTTTTCGAGGGTCTTCCTACCGAGGTTCAACTGTATGAGTTTCTTAGTAGGCTTTCAACGAAGCTACACTATAAATATTTTTCAGGTTTGACCAGACTAATTGCACTTTCACAAATTAAATATTGGAAACATACTCTTTAAAAATAGTTGACAATTCTGTTTGGTGAACTGTATATTTAATATTTTTGTCATTAAATAGGTTGTTTTTAACATGCTGTATTTAGCTGTGTGTAGTTGGTAGTGTGGCAAAAAAGTATAATATGAAACTCATTTGGGAAGATGATTACAGAGCTTGTAGTGCGTCACTGTCACTTTATTAAATGTAATGAGTAATGTAATTAAATGTAATAAAGTTGTTTTAGAATTTTTAAAGTTATGTTGTAACAGTTGTTTCAAGTTTTTTCACTTATCTAATGAATCAAGTGATTTCATTGCCAGGGACGTAACTAGGCTATTCAGCACCCATAGAAAACCACAAAAAAAAAGGTTTTCACAATTTATTTTTGTTATATAGTATATTATTGATTAAATTGTGCATATTTATGAAAATAGTTGTTGAGTTTGAGGGAGAGTTGGAGAGTGGAGAGGATTTTCCATTGTCACGTGATTTAAAATGTTTTCTATTGCTTTCACCCCAACAAACCCAAAACATCTTGCGCCTCTGGGTCCGAGCACGTTTGAAAGCAAGCCTGGATTAACCTTTAACACGTTCGCTGCTACGGACGTTCTGGAACGTCAGCCGGGCCACGGCGCCAGGAGCTAAGAACGTTCCAGAACGTCACCGTTCATTGTTGTTTAACGTTGCTATGGATAAGCCAGCACGTCACAAGCGTTCTATATTTCTTTGCAGCTCGTGGGGACGTACTTTTCTGACAATAAAAAATATAGTTTCCCAAGTCACCACCTGGGTCGTTTGGAACAGGGCTTTGTTTTACCTCTTTCCTGCTGGATAGCGATACTACTTTAACGACTGTAACCTGGGTAGTGCTGCTATCTATCAGAATCACTTAGTACTATATCCAAAGCCAGTTTTATTGCAGAACATTGCCATCCAGTATAACTACTGTTGTTTTTATTGTAATTCAGTGTATCGGTGGCAATGTTACGCAGCGGCCGAGCGTTAGTTCAGCAACTGGCGCCGTCCCGGCATCTAGCGCTCAGCAGCGAACGTGTTAAGTCAAATAATATTTAGTGTAATTGTCGTTATTATAATACCGTATTATCATTCCATGTTTTTGTAGTTTTTATACAAGTACACATTCTTGTCCTTTGTTAATTCAATAAACAATATTATTCTCTCTGTGATTTATGTAAACATTGTGAATCTATGTTAAATCACTATGTAATATTTTAACTGTCTTGTGTATGGTTGCCAATATAAATAAATTGCCTATTACAGGACAGATAATGATTAACCTAGAACAAATTGGTTCAAAAGTTAACTCTTGTGGAATGTGTTTGGGACACACTCCTTAACATTTACCGAGAATTCCCAAAAACTTCAGCAAAATTTGCCATCTTGGAAAATGGCAGCGAAACAAATCAAACTTTCAAGGCTTTACGGAAGTTGAATAAATTTGAAGTTATAACAATTTCCCTTAAACCTCACAAGTATGATTTGTTTCGATGCCATTTTCCAGGATGGCAGATTTTGCTGAAGTGGCATTTTTTGGGAATTCTCGGGAAATATTTAAGAGTGTGTCCCAAGCACATTCCAGAAGAGTTTATCCTTGAACTAATTTGTTCTAGGTTAGGGTCTTTTTTTGGATAACTGTCTTGTACTATAGGTAAAGTAACACATTGATCAATAGCTAATTGTCAATAAATTATACAGAAAAAAGTGAACTGAAAACATACCTGTTAATGTAGAAAGAAAATATTGGAGCAATTTTGTTCTGTCTGTAGATGTTGTAGAACAAAGGAGTGACACCGGGGGACAGTTTTTCTAAGCCTAGCCCTAGGTCTCCGTCTGGTTCATACAGAGCGTTTATCCATGGCAAATGTTTGAGTTCTGCAAACTTCTGATCTGTGGTATTCATCTGGCCAACCTGGGGAGCAAAGGTATGTTACAATTTCATCAACAAAAACATAGTGAGAAAATGTACAGGAAACTTTTTTAACAACTTATAACTCAAGCTTGGGGCTGATTTTCACATTATTTAAACTTTTCACATATTTTTAAGCGGTTTGTAAATACATTCAGTCTGATGGGAGCATTTATACACTATGGTGTAACCACTCCCGCTTCATGTGCTGCAGCCAACTCCAATGGCAAATATAGTATATTTTTGAAACCGAGTGTTTATTATTTTTGGTAATATCCTAGACTGCTTGTACTAATTCCTACTTACCTAACCAATCTGAAATTTCTTGCGTACCGTACTTTGATGAATGTTCTGAATGGTTGTGCCCAACGTATATGATGTTACATATGGTTTTACTGCTTTAATTTGTTTGAACTATTAAGAGTCAAAACAACAGAGTAACACGGACCAATGAGGTTCAAGGATTGAGAGAGAAGAAGTAAAATTGTAATGATTCGAACTTCAACTAATCAGCTGTTTAGGCCAATTTAATTGTTGAGTGCTGCAATTAGTGTTTGGTACAATGTTTGGTTGCATCACTGACAGTGGCAATGAGAGGTTTAAACAAAAACATAACCTCTCTTAGAAGTAATGAGTAGTGATTTATAATTAAAACACTGTCGTAGGTAAAGTAATGTATGCAACTTGCGTAAATAGTGTTAACGACACTTGTAGAAGGTTTTAATGCACTCGCCAAGGCTGGCACCTTAAATTTTCTACTCGTGTCGTTAACACACTACTACTATAAGTCCCCTGAAAAAAAGCACTATTAACTACAAATAATATTTTTGTTAAATCAAGTGTATAAAAAAAGATTAGTGATTATTGAAAATGGATAAAACTTACCAAGAACAA